TGAAGTAATATAGGTTTATAGCGATGCTTCCTAAGGGTGCAGCACTGGCTGTAGAAAGGAAACCTGTACTGAGCAATCAGACTACTCACACCCATTGGTGCAGTATTAGGAGAAATGGTAATGGTTCTATATAGAGGAGAGGCACCCTGATTGGGTGATCGGATATTTGTGTATGTGAACAAGAAAGTCAGTTTGTATTTGAGACCGAATTCTTTTGCTAGCAAAACTTGGAGCCCTGTGAAGGTGAGCTAGCAAAATCTTCTTGGCTGAAATAGGATTGTCTGGGCAACTGCCCTTTTACCAATCCCGACTGAAGAAAGAACTCTGGTGTGATAACGCGGGATGAGAAGATTTTGAGTCCACTGTAGTATTGGGCACTGAGTGCACAGCGCGCTGCGGAAGCGTTGGTGAGAGGCTGTGGATGGCGATGATTGCAGAAGTCTCTGTGCCCCTCAGCTGCTGCTGTCAGCTGTGTAGATGAGCATATGGTATAAAGATGCGCAGTGTTACTGAACTTCCAATTGGGTTTGAGGACTGACGCTAGTGTGAGCCTGAATCCCTGGATCTCCGTGCAGCTGTGAGCAGAATGGCAGCGCCTGACCGACCTCTTAGGTGCCTCCGGGTCAAGAGAGCGAGCCTGCTAGTCACAGTCAAATTTATAGACTATTCCAGAATCCGTTTCAGCTTCAGGATTCAATAAAAGTTAGTTGCAGGACTACGGGTCCCAAGATCCTCTGCTCTTTAGACAAGAAAAGCGATCTCCCTCTAGAGGCAGGAGAAGATGCAACAGCCTTATTCCTGAGCGTAAGGGGTGAATAAAGAGTCTCTGTATTCTTTTTTGATTCATCGACTCACTGACTGACAGTGATCGGGAAAAAAAGAAAACTGCTGTAAAAGTGACTGCAGAGCTCAATCTCAGTCCTTTTTAAATTGCAGTTAGTGTTTATGTATAAATAGTTTATGAGTTTGTTAGCTCTCATGTGGCTCCACTGAGCAGGCTAGATTCTGAGTCATGGGGAGTAGAACTACCTGCGTAACAAGGTAATGCAACTTTATAAAGATGAAAAAGGATATAAAAAGATATCCAAAGCCTTGAATATGCCAGTCAGTACTGTTCAATCCCTTATTAAGAAGTGGGAAATTCGGGGCTCTCTTGATACCAGGTAAACCAAGAAAGATTGCAACCACAAATGCCAGAAGATTTTTTTCGGGATACAAATAAAACCCTACTGCTAACCTCAAGAGAAATACAGGCTGCTCTGGAAAAAGACAGGGTGGTTGTTTCAAGGAGCACAATACCACAATATTCAAGCAAAAATGGGCTGCATAGTCAAGTTGCCAGAAAGATGACTTTACTGTGCCAATTATAAAGCAGTGCAGCGCTATAAATACCCTATCCACATACTAAATAAAAAGACCAATAAATAAACAACACAGCTGCTGTGAGTCCTCCCAGTAATATAAATCCGTCTTGTTATGTGAGGGCTCGTTCACACTAGGCTGTTTTGCCAACGCTTGCCAAACGCCCCTATAGCGTTTGGCAAGCGTTGGTCCGGCGTTTGCAGAGCGTTTTTTAACGCTCGGCAAACGCCGCATGCGCGGTTTAGCGGCGGTTGCTAGGCGTTTGCCGAGCGTTAATAACGCCCCACAAACGCCTATAATGCAGTTTGAGTGGTGTTACCGCTCCGCAAACGCCCCGCAACCGCGTCGCAACCGCACCGCAAACGCCGGCCGGGCGTTTGCGGAGCGGCACCATAGACGAGAATAGGAGGCTTCAAAGCCTCCTGACTCGTCCAGAGGCGTCCGTTTTGCCGCGACGCGACGCAAACGCTCCCGTTAGAACAGCACCATGTGCTGTAATGTGCAGAATTGGCAGAGGCGTTTGGGAAGCGGTAAAAAACGCTTCCCAAACGCCTCTCTGCCGCCTGCACACAAGGCTAGTGTGACCGTAGCCTTAAAAAACACACAAAAAAATTCATGCAGGTGCTCCCAGCTTAAAACGTGAATCCACAATGACAGGGGTGCCCCCTCACCTTCCTGCCCAGGCCCCGCAGGACCAATGAGCCAGACAATTGCCTCTTAGGTAATCCTCCCACAGCACCTTGGGGGGCTCCTCAGTAGTGGTGGTGGTACTTCCTCCTCTGATGGGTAGCTGATTTTCCACTAGGTGCCTCCAGATATTAATACGCACTTACTCCATGAACACCCCACATAGGACAAAAAAGATCCACATAGTGTAAAACTGCAAAACCTTTTAATAAAGTCACACTGATAGTACTACTAATTGAGTGGCTGAGAGGATATAAGCAGAGACCAGGCCCATAGTAGGCGTATATCCTGAAGAAGTCACGTGCTATTAACCGTGATGTAACGCGTAGATACGCCAGTGGGAGGAGCCTAACGGACCGCGCGGTGACGTCTATCCGGCGTCGGCGCCATCTTGGTCCACCTTTTCTCGTGAGGATCCACACAAGTCAGTACACCCATGGTGTGGTGCAAATGTGCATGTTCAACCACACAAATGTGAGTATTACTATCAGTGTAGCTTTATTAAAAGGTTTTGCAGTTTTACACTATGTGGATCTTTTTTGTCCTATGTGGGGTGTTCATGGAGTAAGTGCGTATTAATATCTGGAGGCACCTAGTGGAAAATCAATTACCCATCAGAGGAGGAAGTACCACCACCACTACTGAGGAGCCCCCCAAGGTGCTGAGGGAGGATTACCTAAGAGGCAATTGTCTGGCTCATTGGTCCTGCGGGGCCTGGGCAGGAAGGTGAAGGGGCACCCCTGTCATTGTGGATTCACGTTTTAAGCTGGGAGCACCTGCATGAATTTTGTGTGTGTTTTTCACATAACAAGACGGATTTATATTACTGGGAGGACTCACAGCACCTGTGTTGTTTATTTATTGGTCTTTTTATTTAGTATGTGGATAGGGTATTTATAGCGCTGCACTGCTTTATAATTATACTTCTCTACTGTGTTTGGTGCCAGGGTTGTGTCACCTTAGTGCTGGCAGCTTAGCATTATTTGTGGCATTGGTAATAGCGCAGGAGTCATATTTATTTACATTTTACTGTGCCAATGCCACAAAAAAAACTTGGTTACAATATGCACAAGAACACCTTGACACGCCTCACTGGGCTTTTTTGTGGCATTGGCACAGTAAAGGCTTCGTTCTGGCAACTCAACCATGTTGTTGATTTTTGTTCACGTATCATTGTGTTGTGCTCCTTGAAACAACCACACCATCTTCTTCCAGAGCAGCCTGTATTTCTCCTGACACTGACTACAACGTAAAAAGCCACAAGTGGGAAATTAAACTTTAATTGCCATTTTAACCTGCATATGTGTCACTTTGTGTGTCTGTACCAAGGCCAAACATTCCAGGGTAAGTATACTATTGATCAGGGCCATTTTGGCAATTTCTGTTATTATGATTTAAAAAGAGTCAGACAACTATGTGATAATAAATGGCTTCATATGATCACTATCCTTAAATAAAAGACAATTTTTTGGTAAGATCAGTCATATTTTCAATATCAATACCAAAATTTCATGATTTCTGCCAGGGTATGCAAACGTTTGAGCACAACTGTAGTCTGATTCTGTATATAGCCCAACAGAATAGACAGTGCACAGTCTTAAAGGGTTTCAGAAGCTGGGAGGCAGGCGGGGTTTTAGGGCCATGTGACTGCCGTGATACACTCTCAGCACATATGGTTTGTTTAATTGCACGCAAATGTGCAGCCTCTGCATCAAGGCCCAGACACCGAGAGGCCGCACATTTGCGTGCGCTCGGCGTGAAGAGGTTAAAGTAGATCTCAATCCAATCACTAAAATCTTAAATAAGGATGTCTCCAACTTACAAGCCGACCTCCATGAACTGTTTAATTGGGCAACTATGTGGCAAATGAGGTTTAATGTTGATAAATATAAGGTTATGCACTTGGGGGCTAAGAATATGCATGCATCATACATACTAGGGGGGGTACAACTGGGGGAATCAATGGTGGAGAAGGATCTGGGAGTTCTGGTAGATCACAAGCTTAATGATGGCATGCAATGCCAAGCTGCAGTTTCTAAAGCGAGCAAAATCCTCTCTTGTATTAAGAGGTATAGACTCCAGAGAAAGAGATATCATTTTACCCCTGTACAAATCATTAGTAAAACCTCATCTGGAATATGCAGTTCAGTTTTGGGCACCAATTCACAAAAAGAACATTGGGGAACTGGAGAAAGTACAGAGAAGGGCAACCAAACTGATAAGAGGCATGGAGGAGCTCAGCTATGAGGAAAGATTAGAGGAACTGAATTTATTCTCTCTTGAGAAAAGGAGATTAAGGAGGGATATGATCAACATGTATAAATACATCAGTGGTTCATATAGTGAACTCGGTATAGAGCTATTCACCCTGAGGTCATCACAGAGGACAAGGGTGCACTCTTTACCTCTGGAGGAAAATAAATTTAATCTCCAAATACAGAAAGGTTTCTTCACAGTAAGAGCTGTGAAAATGTGGAATAGACTCCCTCAAGAGTTGGTTCTGGCCAGCTCAGTGGATTGCTTTAAAAAAAAGGCCTGAATTCTATCTTGGATACACAGAATATAACTAGGTAAAGTTGATCCAGGGAATATCTGATTGCCTTTCGGGTATCAGGAACAATTTTTTTCCCCTTCAGGAGCAAATTGGATCATGCTTCGCTGTTTTGTTTTTTTTTTGCCTTCCTCTGGATCAACTGTGGGTGTAGGATTATAACTTTTTTTTTTTTTTTTTTAATGGTTGAACTGGATGGACTCTTGTCTTTTTTCAGCCAGGCGATGTAACGTAACTATGTAACGCTTTAACATGTTTATTTGATTCCAAAAGTTGTTTTCAATCCTTTTAAATCTGCAGGCATGATTAAAGTACATTAGAGAACTAAAGGCAAATGTTTATTCATTTTGGATACAGTATGCTAGGTTTATAACCTCTGTGAGTTTTAGTCTGAGTCCTTTTGGGGATATTTATTTCTACACTTCCTGTCCTATAGCTAAAAAGGAAGTTAGAGGAAATAAATCAATAAGTCTGACAATCCCTGGTTGCCACCAGGTATACCAGAACTAGTGCCCCTATTGGAAGATTTCCCCCCCCTTTTACTGTTCTAGTGACAACCCAGAATTTTGGATTTTCTTTCGTTTAGGGTGAATCTCCCTCATAGGGGAACAGATAGAAAAAAATATGCCTTTAGTTATACTTTAAAGGAATACCTGATGATCCTGTCATGAAAATGTTTAGGCACTTACTATTATGAAGTGACCGCTCTCTCCCAACCATGATTTTACCTTGTCACCCTGTCACACATTCCGTGATGGACACTAACAGCAGCCCTGCAGATGCACAATATACAAGTATGGTTTTTCATCTTTATCAGAAAGCTGTTCCCCATCTGCAGCTGAGTTTGAACTGCACATACGAACAAGAGATGATGACTGAAAGTCTGGAGGGGATTGACGGCACTGAAAATAAAAAAGGGATGATGAAAAAAGTGTTTTACTGGGTGCACCACAGGTTCATGAAATATCCTGCGCTAACACCACATTTGTTCACTGTGCCAGAATTTCTGCATGAAACTTCTTTGGCACTGAGAACATTTAAAATCTGTATTTCCTCTAACAATTACTCAAAAAAAAAATCACTGTTTTAAGGTAGTACTAAACCCAGTCTCTGAAATCTAGTATAAACTTAAGGAGATCTTAGGTCACATAAGCTTTCATTTTATAATATTAGTATTGTAATAGCAACACAAACAATAGTTATTTTTGACACTCCAATATAAGCATACGTGTCCTTTCATGTTGCGAATGCTGCTGGTCTGTTGCCATCTTTTTCCACAACTTCCTGGGTTCCCTGCATACTTTGCAGCTTCTCCTCTGCTGTTTACTATCAATTTCTAAGAACTACATATCCCATGGTACCTTGCTACCTGCAAGCTGTGATTCCTGTGCTGACTCCGCCTCCTAAAACATCTCTTTTCAGCACCTCTGTAGTTCAGAAGGCAGGTTCCTTGATCTCTGTGGCACAGCAGTGCCTACTCACATAATGAATACATGTTACAGAATTCACGTAAATGTGTGGCGATCCTCGCAAACTTCAAGATTGTTTAGAGTAATAAGAGTTGGATAGGAATAATTGAGATACAATATGGAAATAATATATGATTTAAAATTTTGGTCACAGATACGCTTTCAAGTGTATCAAAACCTAAGAACAAAAAAATTAATTTATTGATGCTGAGCAGTTCTTAGATGTGGTGGCTGCAATAGTTTTTAACAACAACATTTTGGAACAAGTACAGTAGGTAGGAAGGTACCAGCAACCACCTACAACTAACACGCAGTATCCATGATCCATTGACTTCTAGAGGTGATGGTCTCCTGGGTCCCCCTTAGCACCTACTGGTTACGCCTGCTAAACTCCAAATAACTGCAGTGATATTAATGACACGGAAGTCTTTAGGATGAACCAGGCAGAGCTGTGGTGCAATTGTTTTATAAATGTACACAATAGCATTAAATTGTGATTTTATGAGTGCTTTCAGTACCTGTGTGCAGGGGCGGACTGACAACTCATGGGGCCCCGGGCAATAGGGGATCATGGGGCCCCTGTGTCCGTGCCCAAACTCAAAAAAGCCTATGAAAAAGGTAACAGGGGCATCTCATGGGGCCCCCTACTGACCCCAGTCCCTCAGGCAGTGCCCAAGTCTCCAAATGGTCAGTCCGCCCCTGCTGCCTGTGTGTGATTGCTCCTCCAAACTCTCCCTGCTCTCTGTTGACATACAGTAAGTTGGAATGTTTAAAAAACTCCCTTTAATGGATACAGTAGCTGCACAATTTTTTTTCAAAAGGGGGCATCAAGTAATCCTGTGCCGCTTTGCTAACAGCACAGCAAATAACAATTTGGCATATTCAGTAATCCCAGTGATGCACCACATGAGCTCCCAGCCATCTTTTAACAAAAGGGTTGGCAACATCTTCGATGGCCTAGAGCAGGGGCCTCCAAACTTTCTGAACAAAGGACCGTTTTACTGTCCTTCAGACTTTGAACGGGTCGGGCTGTGGCCAGTGTGAGTAGAAAATGCCCCGACATCAATGGGAATAAATTATGCCTCATCATTGGTATTGATGGGAGGAATAGTGATCCATTGTTTGTAGTAGGGGAAAAAAATAGTGCCCCATCATTGGGATCAGGAAAAAGAATTAGTGCCCCCTTGTTGATATCAGGGAAAGGAATAGTGCCCCATCACTGGTATCAGTGGGAAGAATAGTTCCACACCATTGGTGTCAGTGAGAGGAATAGTTCAATAACAATGGCGTTAGTGGTATGAATAGTGCCCCATCATTGGTGTCAGTGAGAAGGATAGTTCAATAACATTGGTGTCAGTGGGAGAAATAGTGCCCCATCATTGGTGTCATTGGTAGGAATAGTGCCCTATTGTTGGTATCAGTAATTATACCCCATTCTTGGTGTCATTAGAAGGAATAATACCTTGTATCAGTGGAAGGAATAGTGCCCCAAGGGCCTTATAAAGGCAAGCAAAGGGCCACATCCGGCCCCCGGGCCGCAGTTTGGAGAACACAAGCCTAGAGCATAAGGTGCCTGTCGCATAACACCTACTTGCAATGTCATAGCAATGCAATAACAAGCACTTACAATTCTTGTTCCTGCAGACAGGATTATTTTACAAGTGCCTCTAAGTAAATATTTTAAAGTATTTGGATAATTTGATTAACACCTCTACTACATTATAAATGTTTTCTGAAATACAGAGAAACATTAAAGATATGTGTACAAAACTATGAACCTGTTTTTTACTTCTTCCCACATGCTGAGCTGCTTCAAATACAATCTTTAGACTATTATATTGTACAAGTAAGCAATATCCAAAGTTAGATAAACACAACAGAAGATGAACTGAATTAAACTGATTACAATTCCTTTGATTGCTGTAGCACAAGACCTTATGTAATGCTGTCTTCAGCCAAAACCTCTGTTTGTTAACGATATGAAATGGATGTAATGTAATATCCTACATTTTTATACCATGCACAATTATTTATTTTCATTCTATTCCGAAATCCCAGGCAGATTGCCTTGCAAGATGAATGAATTTTCTCCCACAATCTGTTTTATGAGACAAGAGACATGAAATCCTTAAAAGGATCAGAAATTAAAATGTTTACCTAACCCGCAACATGAACTTAGTCTTGGTATTTTGAAGGATAAAGAACGACTCGGTGGCTTGCTGGTAAACTGCTGCTATTTCATTTTCAATAAATACATGAAAAGGAAATATCCTATTTGATTTAAATATTAATACTTGCATATTCTGGTATTTGTAACTTATAATAAAGAGTCCCATTATTAGAGGTCTTACCTTACTAGGGTTATGCCCTATCCAGTGTTTAGCCCACAATGCAAAATTATTTTCCCATTCATTTAAACTGGCTGTATTTACTATAAGTAATCACAAGGAAGACCTAACTAGAAAAATGCTGGAGGTAATTTCCCTTTTTATTTTACAAATATGGGCTGTCACCAGGCTGTCTACAACCTGTAAACTCAAAAGTGAATATGAATGAAAAGTAGTGAAAGCAGCACTAAATTTAAACATAGAAACTAAAAGTGAAATAACCCAAATAGTCAATATAACCACAACTAATCAAAGTTATAAATAAATATAAAAGTGCAAATATAGTTATCATAGTCCAGAAATGTTTATATGAATAGCCACAGTTCATCTGTCAGCTCAGTCTGCATTCACCCTGTTGTAACCAAGAAAATTCCAACACTGTTGGTCATCATTGATAGAAGCCTCTTACCAAATAGGATGGACCATTACATTATAAATGGTCAAACATGCTCAGGTTAAATGGTTCTCCAATGGCTTCCTGGTCAACACTGTGTAAAACACCTCCACCTGCACCATGCAGTAGGAATGGCGATACCTGTATGTCCTACTGCATGGAGCAGGTGGAGGTGTTTTACGCAGCATTTACTATCTGATCTGTCAGAAGACCATACTGTGTCAATTTTTGATGCTGGGGAGAGAGGTAGAAGAGTTGGATAGTGATAGCAAAACAAAATCTGCAGACAGTGTGATTTTGAAGTCAGAGGTCCCCACCTTCAGACCCTGGATTTTGCATTTTCCTGATTGTAGCCTCTACTGGCTTTATGCACAATGCAAGCAAAGTATAACAGATACTGGGCAGCCTTGAGATAAACCATTTATTACTGTCAAGGATGCTTGGAATGGTTAGCTTTTTCATCTATGTTAAAACATTATACCCAAAGCTAAAACAAATGTTGCTGTACTGCTTAAAAGGTCTTGGTAGGAGTTGGGCTTTAATTTGTCAGTCAGGCCCATCTAAATTTGCTAGAGCATCTAACACTACCCCCTCTAAGGGGTGTCAATGTTGCTAGCCAAGTCTGGCTAAATTGCTGTTCCATACAGCCACTCTAGGATATGAAGTGTATTACTGACTGGATCAATAAAAGGACAAAAGCTTAAAAAAGAAAACTAATGCAGCCACCACATTTAACCGCTTTCCCATCGCCCTATAGAAGATATACTGCTACAGGGCGGCAGGGGTACGCAAAATCATGTACATATACGTGATTTTGCATTTCCGGGTAGCGGGAGCGTGCGAGCTGCGCGTGCACCCTACCCACCCCACCAATCATGGCCGCGACTGTCAATCGCCGGGTCCTGGCCAGTGAGTACCCGCTGGCGCCCAGGGATTATCGAGCATCTCCAACGGAGAGAAGGACTGTTATGCTTACTAACAGTTCTCCCTGTCAGCACGGACACACTGCTCTAGATGGCTGTGCACAGCACAGCCATCCAGAGCAGTGTGCTTACAGTGAAGCACACAGACACTGCCTCCTAGAAAAAACACTCCCTGCACACAGTTAACCCTTTGATCGCCCCTCATGTTAACCCCTTCCTGCCCAGTGCCATTAGTACAGTGTCAGTGCTTTTTTTTTTTTAGCACTGATCACTGTATTGGTGTCACTGGGGATGTCAGTGACATCAAGTCAGTTCCTCCCAGTGTCAGAATGTCCGCTGCAGTCTCTCTATAAGTCACTGATTGCCGCCATTATTAGTAGAAAAAAAAAATTTCCAGTATCTATACCGCCATTTGCAAACGCTATAACTTTCATGTAAACCAATTCATTTACACGTATTGGGATTTTTTTTAGCAAAGACACATAGCAGAATATTTTTCAGGGCTCTGAGGAAGAGGCAAGTCCTCGAAACGCGTCAACCTATTGGATGTCTACACTCCCTATTGCGGACTGTTACTCAGATGCGGTGTTGACCCAGCTGTTCTTTATGATGTGCCTTGACTACATTGTCGTTTGTGAGTACAACACCTACTTTATTTTTTATTAAACATTTTTTATGGTAATGAACTAGGCCTGTGCACCCTCTGTTTGTTCTTTCCTCGGTCAAATACCACTGAAAGAAAGCTCAATTCATGGGAAAAAAAGGAAAGTAAATTTCATTTGGGTGAAGCGTTGCATGACCAAGCAATTGTCAGTTAAAGTAACGCAGTGCCGTAACACAAAAAATGGCCTGGTCAGGAAGGGGGGTAATCCTCTGGAGGGCAAGTGGTTAAACTGTTACTAAACCCACAACAGTAAAATCAGTCTGTATATGCAGTAAAGCGCATGCTTGTTATATTCACTGTGGAACCTAAGGGGTTAATACTCTACATTGTGTAAAAAGGCTGTTTTATCCTGTCTCCTCTAATCCTCCCCGTCTTCCACAGTCTCCAATCCATCTGCTGATACTACGAGTCCTAGGAGGCACTCTGCACATATTCAGTGTGTACAGTGCTGTCCAGACAGCGGGTCAGGGGTCATGCAGTAAGACAGTAAGAGGAGAATAAAAAACTCCTCCTACAAGATTAACCAGTTTTCATCTGGAAACTGATAGAAGTAACAAGACTGCTATATACTGCTGATGAGAAAAGGTATTTAGCAGTTTATATGCATTAAAATAATTGCATTTCCATGTTCAGTGTACTGTGGGAGACCATATATAGTGAATGCAGGGTCCTGGGTTTAGTAACATTTTTAAGGTTTGTTGCGATATAAAATGTTTGTTTTTTGGTTTAGATCTGCTTTAAAGTGGTTGTAAAGACTCAAGGTTTTTTTTTACCTTCATACACAGAATGCATGAAGGTTAAAAAACCATCTAAAAAAAACTCACCTAAGCTCCCTCTCAATCCAGCAATATGCACTGGAGTCTCGGGTATCCCGGGACTCCATCTGCTCATTGGCTGAGACAGCTGTCAATCGCAGCCAGTGAGTCAATGAGAAGAGAGAGGGGGTGAGGAGTGGCTGTGTGTGTGAATGGACACACGGTGCAGCGGCTGGGGAGTATGCATGCTGGGGTGCCCCCATAGCAAGCTTGACAGGAGGGAGGGGCCAAGAGTGCCGGTGAGAGGGGACCCGAGAGGAGGAGGAGGATCTGGGCTGCTCTGTGCAAAACCACTGCACACAGCAAGTAAGTATAGACATGTTTGTTATTTTTTTAATTTTTTTTTAATTACGCCTTTAGAATAATTTTAAAGAATATGTATACCCAAAACATTTTATTTCATTTCAAATGGAGTAGAGAGGGATTAGAATCTCTGTCAGAATTTTCTTGCCTCTCCCTGCTAGGAAGATTCATCTCTATTAATTCTAGAGGCTATGTTCACTGAGACGGAAAGTGTCGAGAAATGTTGGTGTTGTCAATAAAACTAGAGGTGAAGCAATATCTTCCAATGGGGTCACATGTTCCATTTTCAATTGTATAAGAGGGTAATTCTTTGTGAATCTCTGGCACAGAAAGTGAATGTAAATTTCCCAATGGGACAGACAGCATAAAATAAACTTAAAGTACAACTAAAGGCAAAACTTTTGTTTTTAGTTTTGGGCAGCGTGGAGGTGGATTAGAACACCAGCCAGTTTTTATGCTCCCTGTGTCCCTATTAGGGAGGTTCGTCCACTCTATTTGTCCTGTTTACCATTTTCATTGAAAGTGAAAGTAAAAGAAAATCCCAAATTTTGGGTTGTCCCCAGAAAAGTAATAGAGGGGAAATCTTCTGTTGGGGACACTAGTTCTGTTGACCTGGGGGTCCCCTGGGGATTTCCTTTATTTTCATGGATTTCTCACTTCCTGTTTTGGCAATGGGACAGGAAGTGAAGGGAATTCTCCCCAATGGGACACAGATGGCAAACAATTTAACTGTCAGGGGTTATAACCTTCCTTTACTCGATCCAAACTGTAAAAAACTATTCCCCATACTTCTACTTCAAATAATTTTTAACCCTTGCCTTCTTTATACAAAACTAGAAAAAAAGGTTTTTACAATATGTAGGCAGGGGTCATGTTTTTCACCTTTAAGGAAAGTTTCTACTTTAAATCCTTGTACTGCTTGAAGTGTCTGAAGAGGATGCCTAGTACTTTTGAAGATGTAAAGTGAGATAGCGCCCTGTTACAGTGTTACTAAACCCACAACAGTAAAATCAGTCTGTATATGCAGTAAATCATGCTTGTTATACTCCCTGTGGAACCTAAGTGGTTAATCCTCTGCATTGTGTAAATAGGTTGTTTGATCCTTTCTTTTCTGCCCCTCCTCTTGTTGAAATGATCACCTGATACAGACTGAATCCGTAGTCACATGCACATGCCCAGTTTTGGTGTGTATTGCTAGACAGCTTTTTTTTTTACTTGGGAGAGTGCATGTGATCAGCACAGGGCCAATCAGCACTGTCCAGAGAGAGGTCAGGGGTTTCACATCCTCCTAGAGCAGAAAGAAAACTCATCCTACAAGCTTTAACCAGTGCTCTGCTGAAGTCACAAGACTGCTCTAACTGCTGATGAGAAAAGGTATTTAGCAGTTTATATTTACTAAAATAATTGCATTTCCATGTTCTGTGTACTGTGGGAGACCAAATATAGTGAATGCAGGGTCCTTGGGTTTATTATCACTTTAAGCCAATTCTAGACTGTGCATCTCATAAAGAAACACAGATTGAAAGCTATTATTTTTCTGCAGATTTTTTTATTTCTATGTTTGTCTACTATGAATATTTAATTTTTTTCATATGTTTTGTTCCTTAATTTCTTTAGAGTTGCATTTTAAAAAGGCACAAATAATTAAAACACAATAAATTTTATTTGTAGAAAACTTCACCATGCATCGAAATAGAAAGATCATTTTACCGTCAAACAAAACTAAATATAGAATAAAATGTGAACTACAACTGCTACAAATTTTGCCTATAGAGTGCATTAAAACAATAAAATAATTTCTGCAAGAACAATATTGAAAAGAGAAAGCCTTGTTTGTCACGAAAAAAAAAAACCCAATACATGTAAAGTATAACTTTTTTTTTTCTTAAGTAATGACAAAGTTACCAATAGTTATCAACAGGTCCATAACGTAAATGTAAACAGTGCTCTGGTCCATAGGGTGTATACAGGTGCAGGAGCTGAAATGGTTAAAGTATATCTAATTTTTTATTGTTTAAATAATTTTGGCTAGAGTAGAGAATGGTTAAAATACCTGCTAGAATCTTTTTCTTTATCTCTCTTTTCTTTCTTTCTTTCTTTCTTTCTTTCTTTCCCTCTTCTTAGGAAGATTTCCTATCACTTCATGTTCAGAAGACAATGAGAAGTGAAAGAAACCTGAAATAGAGATTGAAGGTAAAAAAAAGAGCTTTCTGAACTGCATTAAAATTAAAGTGATTGTAAACCTACAATGTTTCTTTTTTAAATAGCAAACATGTCATACCTGCTCTGTGCAGTGGTTTTGCACAAAGCAGCTCCGATCCTCCACTTCCATGGACACTTCTGGCTCCTCCTCCCTTAAGAGTGCACCCATAGAAAGCCAAGTCCATTAACATACACAGTGAAGCTCGGACCCGCCCCCCGCTGTCTTACCACAGACTGTGATTGACAGCAGTAGGAGCCAACGGCTTCCTCAGTTGTTTCTGAGTCTATAAGGACAGAGAGAACAGAGTGTGACGTTGCTCTCCGGCCCAACGCTGAATCAAGATTGGGCTCAAGGAAGTATAAGGAGGGGCTTCAGGGGCTGCACACAGAAGGTTTTTTACCTTGCATGCAGAGGAGGTGGGAGGAGCTTGTGATGTACAGTAATTGCACTGGACCTGCTGTGGGGATCAAGTTCTGGGTCTGGTAAATGATTTGAGATTTTGGACTGTAGTTCCCTGTTTACACACAGGAATATCTTGTTTATATGGGTGCATTTGAGAAAATGTTATGTCTAGTTTAATAGTCAGTAAAGCACAATGGAATCTCTGTGTTTCCTTATGCGCTTATAGGACTTGGGGTGTTCTTCTGAAGCAGACTGTGACTGGGGATCTGACTGGAGGAGACTGTGGTATAATGCTGTCTATGACCTCTTTTGTAAGATCAAGGTATATCTAAGGAGGTGAAGGCACATCTAGATGTGCATGTAAATAAAAGGAGATAAAAAGCAAGCACCCAGAGGACATAGCAGCTGGCACTCAAATTGACTATACAAAGCTTGTGAACTAAAACCAGGAATTTTGTTCAGCTGGAACGTGGAGGAACACCATTCCGCCACCTCCGGCAGCCCTGTCCTCTTTAGCTTGTCACTAATTACAGAAGGCAGTAGAGCATGTTTTCACACTACTCAGTTCCTCTACTGGCTTCTGTGTCCTATTGCAAGGCACTCAAGATTGTGAAGAGAAGGCATATGCAAGTGTGTGCCCTGGGTCCCCAAGCCATGATCGCCACACCTCTCCTCCTCTGGTATGTTGAGAAGCAGCTGCTCTCCCACCCTGCATGTCAGACCTGTGTAGCCCCAGAGCTGAGTAAGTGTTCTAAAACGCCTCCTCTGCTCTGTGCAACACAGGTCTGATAGGAGGGGACTGCTGGAAAAGAAGAAAGCCTGTGCACTCCTAACAGACCATTGATGGCTGCACCGCTATGAAGCTTTGAGAGGAGGTGGACAAAAGCTGTGAAGGGAGAGGAAGAGAGACAAGTGGTTGTGCAGAGAGGCATCAGTGAGAAGGTGACAGCTGTGAACCGCAGTGGG